CTAAAACGTAGTGTATTATCGTTTCAGAGAATGCTAAAACGTAGTGTATTATCGTTTCAGAGAATGCTAAAATGTTATGTTATTATTGTTACAGAGAATGCTAAAACGTAATGTATTATCAATTCAGGGAATGCAAAAATGTAATGTTATTATCGTTTAAAGAATGCTAAGACGTAATGTATTATCGTTTCAGAGAATGCTAAAACGTATTGTATTATCGATACAGAGAATGCTAAAACGTATTATATTATCGATACAGAGAATGCTAAAACGTAATGTATTATCGATACAGAGAATGCTAAAACGTATTGTATTATCGATACAGAGAATGCTAAAACGTAATGTATTATCGTGTCAGAGAATGCTAAAACGTATTATATTATCGATACAGAGAATGCTAAAACGTATTATATTATCGATACAGAGAATGCTAAAACGTAATGTATTATCGATACAGAGAATGCTAAAACGTATTGTATTATCGGTACAGTGAAAAATAAAACGTATTATATTATCGTGTCAGAGAATGCTAAAACCTAATGCATTATAGTTTTAGAGAATGCTAAAACGTATTGTATTATCGATACAGAGAATACTTAAACGTATTTTATTATCGTGTCAGAGAATGCTAAAACGTTTTGCATTATCGTTTTAGTGAATACTGAAACATATACCACTATAGTTTCAGAGAATGCAAAAACGTATTTCACTATTGTTTTAGAGAGTGCTAAAACGTTATTCCTTATTATTTCAAAGAATGCTACAACGTTTTATATTATCGTTTCAGGGAATGCTAAACCATTTCCATTATACTTTCAGAGATGGCTGTTGCCAAACGTATGACCCTCATTGTAATGACCGACTTCTTTTGTTGGATGCCAATAATCATCATGGGGCTGCTAGCACTATCAGACATCGTCACAATACCGGGACAGGTGTATGCCTGGACAGCTGTTTTCATCCTCCCCTTGAATTCCGCACTCAATCCTTTCTTATATACAGTATCGTCTATAAAGGCTAGGAAGGAAAAGAAATGCAAGTCGGGTGTCTCTAGAAGCGCAAACAAGCGAGTGATCAGCTCAAATGCTGGTGAGATGGAATGACGACTGATTTACGAAAATAATTCTGGCATCGACGCAAATCAGTCTAATCATCCGATTGTACGATTTGTTTTCTGGTGTTTGTGCTTAAACGACCGGCCTATACACATCGTAATGTTAATGTATTGAGTGTCAGAGTAAATTTTTCCCAATCAATATTCGATCTCAATCATTTCATCAATAAAATATTGTATTTCATGGCCAAACAACGAAAGATGCAGTAGACGTCTGGTTATGAACAAAAACAACATGGCTCCTTCGCAACAATTGCTAACATTCAAGTTATGGTACTATCATGGCAAGAATGACAAAAAAACGTCGTTCTTGCTGATAGGGACGAATATATCACAATACTTCCGGGAACATAGATAAATGTTCTAAGTGTATGCTCTTTTGAAAACGTGATTTGAACATTGAAAAGTAAGTACATATAAGTACATATGTATCTGAAATATTCTGGCGAATTAGATAAGTGAATAACCGGGCCATGTGACCAGCTACATTCCTTTGAACAATGTTCAATTAGTAATAAATGCATATCTGTCATGAGACGTTGAGTTGTTTGAGTTACGAACATCGAGTTACAAAACTTACCGCGCCCATATTTTTAGAAACCACGCCCACTTTTGCACAACCACACCCAAATTATAACTCGATGTTCAATTAACAGTTAATCCAACTTTGCGTTACGGTCAACATAAATTGTTACTGTTGTAAAACGTTCCCATTTAGTAACTCGAACTTTAATCAACAGTTTACCGAAAACAAAATAAAATATATATCTTGCCCGTAATTCGAAATTTAAACTTAAACTTTAATTAATTTAAATTTAAACTTTAATTAAAGTTCCACTAAATGTGGACGTTCAACACGAAAACAAAATGTATATTACCCGTATATCGAAGTTTTTTTGACTGGTAATTGAACTTCGAATTAAATTAGGGCGTGGTTTCGAAAAAGTTTCTAAAATATAGGCGTGGTCGTTTCTGTAGCAAGTTCATTCAAAGTTCATTCCATTGTGACACTGCTTACATGCCCCTATCCGCAACGGCGCTTGGGATATTACAGTTTTGCATATTAATGAGGTAACATCACATAATGAAACCTTGCTTCTTTCAAATAATTAATTGCAAACTCTGAAATAAAGTTATAAAAATACTTTTTGTTTCTGAAAAAAATATAATTTCCATTTCTTTTAAGCATTGGGTCCGATGTCGACGTTGCCTTCAGCTAACATATGGCCATCGAAGGCGATGTCATGCTTACCATTGAAGTGTTACAGAAGTCATAAATCCGCATCGAATCTAACAGTGAGAGACATATATAACATTGCAGTGGACGTAATCGCCGGTGTTTCTTTCCTTCACGATCAAGGCATCATACATACGCACATAGACGAGGAACACGTGGTTGTGGGCATGCGTGCTCAGGTAATGAATGATCGCATCTTAACTTACAAATCGTAATTACACCATTCCCAGATACTTACTACGTGACCAGTGGCGTAAACTGCTACATTTCTATGTTAATATTGGTCATAATTAATCGACACTGTCATTGCGCAACACTCGAATTTTGTGTAAATAATATGAAACGTCGTAGCTGTCTTATGTGGTCACATTTTTATATATGATACATATACATCAATATACGATATATACTTTTCAGTATACAGAGCATACTGACCAAAATACAAAGATACAATACAATATATGATCTATACTTTTAAATATATGATTTATACATTTCAATTTACGGTGTGTACATTACAATATACGATGTGTACATTTCAATATATTATGTGTACATTACAATATATGTGTACATTACACTATACAATGTTGTCATTACAATATATGATGTAAACATTTCAATATACTATGTGTACATTACAATATACGATGTGTACATTACAATATACGATGAGTACATTACACTATACAATGTTGTCATTACAATATACGATGTAAACATTTCAATATACGATGCATACATTACAATATACCATGTGTACATTTCAATGTACTATGTGTACATTACAATATACGATGTGTACATTACAATATACGATGAGTACATTACACTATACAATGTTGTCATTACAATATATGATGTAAACATTTCAATATACGATGTGTACATTACAATATACGATGAGTACATTACATTATACAATGTTGTCATTACAATATATGATGTAAACATTTCAATATACGATGTATACATTTCAATATAATGCTATGTGTACATTACAATATACGATGTGAACATTACACTATACAATGTATTCATTACAATATAAGATGTGTACATTACACTATACAGTGTTGTCACTACAATATATATGATGTAAACATTTCAATATTCGATGTATACATTTCAATATACTATGTGTACATTTCAATATACGATGTATACATTTTCAATATACGATGTGTACATTACACTATACAGTGTTGTCATTACAATATATGATGTAAACATTTCAATATACGATGTGTACATTTCAATATACTATGTGTATATTTGAATATGGACATTGCAATATATAACGAGTACATATCAATATATGTATTTGTGTATATTGCAATATACGTTCATTTTCATATACGCATACTACTCTTTATTATACATCTACGGTTTTTGGACCGTTGTTCCTACCGTGATGGTTGCCAGGCGGTGAAAATACTCGGATGTCCGCCCCCCGGGAATACAGTATCTATTTTCACCAATTTGTATTAATCTTTATATTGTTTTATTTCAGGACAAATTTTTGCACGCTTATCTTGTGGACTTATCGGACTCCAAAGAAGCCAGGAATAAATCAAAAATTACTTTTGGGAATGATATTAAGAACTATGGGGAATTCATAGCATTCCTTCTTCGACCTATACATATTGATTTGAATGAACTTTCACAAAGTCCTATTGAGAACTAGAATAAAATATTATTATATGTTATTGCGATATTACATTATGTAAATCAGATATTTAGGTTGTTTTTATAGTCTACCTTTTTGTGGACTAGGTATAGTTAGAAATATGTAGATGGAGTTGAAAGACGGTAAATTACGTTTTTTTTCTGTGAACCATCATTAATCATATCGAATTGTTCAATTTCGGTTTTAAATATGTATTTAGAGCATTGAATTGTTATTTAAAATTGTAAATTTAGGGTAGAAACCTTTTCAGATCAACCCCAAGAGCGAGTTTCGATGCAATAGCTGAACTTGAATCCTGTGGTTGAAAATTGTTTTGGTGCGAGTGCTGTAAGGTTTATCAAGTGTGTCAAACTGTGTCTGCGTCACTCGTGGATTGAAGCTGAAAGTGAACTGTCTGCTGTGTCGTCGCGCGCTTTGTAGGAAATCGACGTTGCCGCTAATCGCGTTTAAGGGAAGATAGGACTGATCGTAATAGTGTGCACATGGGGCTTGGAAAATTATTGTAAACATCGTTTCACATAATTTGTTTGCAATTGACGGACTTTTTGAATGACATTGCTCATTGAGTGAAGATCCCGTACCATAACCTGTTATTTCCATGTGGCCCAAAATGAATGATTATGCTCCATGTTTATCAGTGAATTTTGCCGTTTTAGTCGTTTCATGGACTGCGTTTGACAGTTCTTTATAGGCCTTGATTGGGTTTTGTGGTTACCAAATGTATTTTTTCGTCAGTAGCAATACTTACTCAATTTGTAGTTTAATGTGTATACATTTTTATTGTTACTGTTATTGCTTACTTACATTTAATAATAAGTCACTGGAGTTATATGATATACTGTTGTGTTAGGGTTGTTTATTCTGAGCGTGTGAAACATACCGTACTGAAATTCCACACACTGTTTTGGTATAGGATACTTTTAGGTTATCTGAACTTGGCCGGTTTGGGGGTTTTGGGTTTTTAGGCTGACGTGGGTATTTGGAAGCCGTGCGGGCTACCCAGTGTTCAGTCTTCCGCTGTCCTAAATTATGACCTTGTGTATTAGTGTAATGTGTCCTAGGGCCAGACTGACACCGACACCAATAAAGAAAGTCATCTGAGATTTTAGTTGTAGCTTTTCACTTTCCGAGCTTGAAAGAATTATCGAAATATTAATGTCTCAAAGTAAATGTTTCATATCCGAACAACGAAAAATCGAGAAATACGGTATACTTAGATGGGACGGTTAATTGTTTTTTTTAGTTAGTTTGCCATACCAATATAATAACAGTGTGCAGTCTTCCGGTGTCCTAAATTAGGACCTTGTGTATTAGTGTAATGTGTCCTAGGGTCAGACTGACATCGACACCAATAAAGAAAATCATCTGAGATTCTAGTTGTAGCTTTCCACTTTCCGAGCTTGAACGAATTATCGAAATATTAATGTCTCAAAGTAAATGTTTCATATCCAAACAACGAAAAATCGAGAAATACGGTATACTTAGATGGGACGGTTAATT